AGGGTCAGGAGAGTGGCGGGGACCCTAACCCTCCTCTCTATGCCGACGTCCATCACCAAGATGGCCACCGGCAGGCGTCAATAAGACAACCACATGCATGATGACGGGGGGTGTCACCCGGTCTCCGCTCCGTGTGACACCCGGCCCCCGGGACGCCCCTGCTTGGCATCAGCCGTTACACCGAATGTTGGCAGAGCATTGTCACCCTATAACAGGAAGTGCCTGAACAAGGACAGAGCGTGGTCACCCTATAACAGGAAGTGCCTGAAGAGAGACAATGCACTGTCACCCTAGAACAGGAAGGGCCTGAACAAGGACAGAGCGTGGTCACCCTATAACAGGAAGTGCCTGAAGAGAGACAATGCATTGTCACCCTAGAACAGGAAGTGTCTGAACAAGGACAGAGCGTTGTCTCTTTAGAACAGGAAGTGCCGAAACAAGGACAGAGCATTGTCACCCTATAACAGGAAGTGCCTGATCAAGAACAGACTGTTGTCACCCCATAGCAGGAAGTGCCTGAACAAGGACAGAGCATTGTCACCCTATAACAGGAAGTGCCTGGACAAGGACAGAGCATTGTCTCCCTATAACAGGAAGTGCCTGGACAAGGACAGAGCATTGTCTCCCTATAACAGGAAGTGCCTGGACAAGGACAGAGCATTGTCTCCCTATAACAGGAAGTGCCTGGACAAGGACAGAGCATTGTCTCCCTATAACAGGAAGTGCCTGGACAAGGACAGAGCATTGTCTCCCTATAACAGGAAGTGCCTGGACAAGGACAGAGCATTGTCACCCTATAACAGGAAGCACCTGAGCAAGGACAGAGCATTGTCACCCTATAACAGGAAGCACCTGAGCAAGGACAGAGCATTGTCACCCTATAACAGGAAGTGCCTGAACATGGGCAAAGCATTGTCACCCTATAACAGGAAGTGCCTGGACAAGGACAGAGCATTGTCACCCTATAACAGGAAGCACCTGAACAAGGACAGAGCATTGTCACCCTATAACAGGAAGCACCTGAGCAAGGACAGAGCATTGTCACCCTATAACAGGAAGCACCTGAGCAAGGACAGAGCATTGTCACCCTATAACAAGAAGTGCCTGAACATGGGCAAAGCATTGTCACCCTATAACAGGAAGTGCCTGGACAATGACAGAGCGTTGTCCCTTTATACCAGGAAGCTACTCAACAAGGACAGAGCGTTGTCACCCTATAACAGGAAGTGCCTGAAAACGGAGCTCCTTGGCAGGATCGCCGGGGGATTATTATGATGTAAAAGGGTTGAAGGGAAGTTTGGAACGAATGTGATGAAGATTATATGAGATTTTAGTGATCCGTATACATCATATATTGGAGGTTTGTTCGCGGCGAGCACAAATCCGTGAAACGGCCCCGTGTACGTCCGTAACATGGCGCCGGCGATGATGGCGCCGTCATAGCAATAGCGCAGGTTGTATCGTTATCTCCGGAGCGCGCCAGGACATGGAGCCGTCTGTTCCTCTAACGAGCAGCGATTTGCACGACGCTCACTTGCGTCTCCTCCGTGTTCCTGACAATCTGGAGAGCAGAGTGTGAGCACAGATGGTCGGAGGCCCCCCCTGCGATTCTTATCATGGCGGACATATCCGGCGCCACTCTATAGAAGAACCTCTGGATCATTATCCCCCACCCCCCGCCCGGGGCTTGTCACGTCCCAGGAAATCTCTGTCCTGTCTCATGATGGGAACGATGGACAGAATATTCCCCACCCCCGCCCTGGAGCTGCATATAGAGCCATTGCACACCATGTGACTGCTGTGTGGCCCCCTGGGACAAGGCGGGCTCCGTATACTGGTCTGGAGAGCCCACTTAGGGTCTATGTCAGAAGTGGTTCATACAAGTCAAATGCAGCTTATTAGAAGGTCAGGTGCAGCATACAAGCTTGTTCCCAGTGGGCTGTACTCCTAGGGTTGCCACCTGTCCAGGATTCACCCGTCCGGGTTTTGAATGCTGTGTCCGGGTTTTTGGCAGCAGAAACCGGGACACAAGATGTCAGGCAGACGGGGGGCAACCAAAATAAAGAGAGGGGCTACTGCCCCCCCCC